TCCGATCAGCTGCCTGGTGGCCGAGTCGGTAGCATGCTTGCGTTCTGCTAGTGAAGTCTGGGGTTCGATCCATAGTTGGGTCAATGGATACAAACTGCTGATGAGACCCAACCAGGTCGAAGCAGCTGTACTTTTTATTTCACGCTTCATTTGCTCTATACAACACGAACTCCTCCCATGTGATTGAATCAAATCCTCCATTACTTTCAGGCAAAAAAATAGAAGGAAGATGATAAGAGTGCATGCGGTGTGTAAAAACAGCGAGACAGGGACTCAAAATCAGGAAGGTATCCCAATATTGGCCTTAATATTGCTTAGTATCATACACCAACCCATAAAGGGGAGGCGGTCGAATCTGGGAGCTCACGGAGAGAACGTAAAAATACCGATTACTCAGTCCTTTATGGATTGCTTAGCATGCCTGTTTGACTTTGTCTTGCCACTGATTCGCATACCATCCTCGTCAGTTTATTGTGAGCTGTTAATTTTGCTCTAATTTTGCATTAGTTAATGTGGTTGGAAGATGAGTGAAACGTTTGTCCCACATGTCCATTGCATTATTGACTGAGTAACCGATGCTGCTGCCACCAATCACGCACGCAGGCATGCTACGAATGCATACATGTACGTCATACAGATTTAGTCTGCTCAAAAATCGATAAGTCTCAGCCAATCAGATGTCGGTCTTGAGCTGTCCGCGTTGATTGATCCGTTGACAGCTAGACTACCCTGGGAGACCGTGATGTCATGGCATGCCAAGCCTGAGCTTGTAGTCGTTCGATTTTGCGGATTGATTGTGCATTGACGCCCCTGCATGCCTGCCAACCCGCATACCGACTATATGTATGCGTATTTTGAATAGTCCTACTGCCTAATTCAATACCTGTTTATTTGTCTACGTAAACGGTACACAGCTACTGGTTGTGTGAATTATGACTTGTTTAGAGTACTACCATAACTCACTGGTGTTTGTGAGGTAATACAGAGTGTTTTTAAGTGACTATAAATGAGAACCTTC